ACTTCGGGCCGTGAATGCCTGCTGCTCTTTTCTCAAAGGCTCAGGGCAGCAAAGATGGAAAACCGAAGCAGAAGGTGATTATCTCAGACTGCGGGGAGTGCCCGTGAGCTCGACTCTTGGAGGGGGCTGGATGGGGGGAGCCTGGCCAGGAGGGGCCGGGGAACCACCTGGGGTGGGACAGCCCTGTGACCCCCCCTGGCAGTGCCCAGCTCCCGCAGCTTCTGTCGACATCTTCCTACAAAGCTTGGTGCGAATGTGCCTGTGGACAGCGCTGCGGGGGGTCCGACCCACCTGAGGATAAATCGCTGTTCAGCCTGCGCCATCCTGTGCTGCCCCGAGCTGGTTCTGTTGCTGTGTTTGGGAAAGGCTTTGGATTTACTAAAAATAAAACCTAGTTTTAAAAATACAGAGGACCTACCCCTGGCCATTGAATTTTCACAGGGTGAGGATGGTGTTTGCTTTTAAGCAAAGATGCTTTTTTTGCATTTGCTCTCATCTTCTCCAATCCTAAATGCCTAAATCCTGGCTCCGGGGGAAGTTGCCCGTGCCAGGGCAAGAAAAACAGAGCTGAATGTCTCGCACTGCCTGTTCCAGCAGCAGGATCTCGTGGAGGTGGTTCTGGCTGGTCCCTGGCTCTGTAGTGTCCTTTCCCATCAGCAGAGGGAGGCAGGTCCCTGGCTGGGAATCCAGCCTGGTCCAACTCCCATCTCCATCGAGCAGGAGGGCATTCACTGGGATGTGTAAGTGGGAGAAGAAGATCAGAATGAGAAGCACCAGGAAATGAAGAAACCCTTTGGGTGATAATAAAGGAAAAAAAAGCAATGAGGCTGTAGAAAGGGGTTTAATTCCAAACTCTGGTTTGCAGAGTGGGATAGATGTGTACCTTTATAGTTCCCATCAGTGGATAGCTCTGGCTGTGCCCCGTGAAGGTAACCACATCGTTGGAAAGTGATCTATTTGGGGTTTCCTATGAAATTATGGCACCGGGTACTTCTGGGAACGCATGTTTGCGGGGAGGAAGGGATGTGTGATTCTGAGTTTGCGCAGGCGTTCGCAGGAGGGCTGGGGCTGTCAGGGCAGAGACGAAGGTTGGGGTTTAGGGGATGTTTTTAAGAGCTTGTGCAGTTGGGGATTTTTAGTTTCACCAACGCAGCCGCTCACAGATCAGGGGTGTTGCTTTTCCATAATAAACGCCGGGTTGCTTTTATTCACTTGCTGATTTCCCACACTGTTTGGGGGTTGTGCATTGCCCTACAGCTGGGACAAGGTAAGATACAGGTGCTCGGAGGTGATACCTGACAGACAAACCAACCCAGCATTTCCCTTCCTGGCTCCCTTCTTTTTGTTGTTCAATTCTCAAATTTTTGAAGACAGACCTTGCAGAAATGTTCAGCAACACCTGAAGCAGAGACAGCCCTTGCTTGATGGAGTCGGTGGAAGCTGTGGGCTTTCTCTCTGCAGAAGGCACCACGTCGCACGAAGCCACGATCACATCCTGAGCTGTATTTCATGTGGAATTAGTTGGTAAATTAAATCTTTCTGAAGAGGCAAGACCTTTTCTCAGGAAGCCAGGCATTGGCAGGGAGCAGGTCTTTCTTATTTTGGTGGGTTTATTGGGATTTTTTTCCTTTGTATTTGGCTAAGCCAGGTTCATTATTTGTTCAGTGACACAAGGTTCCCTGGGTGCCCGAGCTGCAAAACAGCCCAGGCCCTTTCCTTTTAAAATCAGAGCAAATAAATAAGTTAATTGTGCAAATAGCCCAGGGAAGCTGCCTGGGGCTGTTGTAATCCACAGGAAGCATCCACCGGTGAACACAGCTGCTCTCCCAGCCAGGGAGACACAGCCTGACCCAAACCTCGCATCACAACGCTTTGGCGGGGTTTATTTTCAAGCAAATAGGTACAATTTTAGCCAATCCCGAGTATTTTTTTCATTGCGAAATCCCATCAGCCGAACAGAGCGCTGCTGTGCCGTGACATTTATTAAAAAACAAACAGCAAGAGAAATTAGGTGTTTACTTTCCAAACTAGGCGTTTATTTTATAACAGTGGCATAGCTCAATATGGATTTTTATTTTTTTTTTCCAACTGGCTGAGTTTTGTGAACTTTAAGTAAACAGGAGCGGGTTAGTCAGCCAGCTACTTAATTAGCTGACGGTGTTTTCATTAAGGGAATTAAAAGCGCTGGTTAGAGGCGAGTGAGTTAGACATACGTGGCTAGAAACAGCTCAATCCCAGAGCAACTCAGATGCTGCCTCCCTCGTCCTAAATACCCTTCAGCCCAAACTGCCTCTGCGAACACCGGAGACGGCATCAGCCTGTGAGCCAGCAGCGCCGGGGGAAAACACATCACCCGCAAACAAAACAGACACGTAACCAGCCGCAAAGCCTCTCTTTCCTATATGTATATATATGTATGTGTCTCGTTAAATGTAGTAGGAGAATAAAAGTTTTATATTATTTACATCCACTTCTAGGAAGGGGTGGGAGGGATTTATTTTTATTATTTTTTATTATTAATGGACTTTGCTATGATGAAACTCCTTTTCCACACACGCAGCAGAACCCCAGTGTCACATTTCTCCGGTGGAGAGGGGACGGGACGTTCAGGGACGGGATTCGGCCGTCAGTGGCAGCCGCACGATTTCACCACCATGTTGCGGTGTTTCTTGAGGATGACGTTGTTGTTGCTGTCGTAGTAGAGGACGGAGGTGGCGCTGAGCTTCGTGGGGGCACAGCACGCCTTGGGCACGGCCTCGGGCTTCATCAGGTGGACCTGGGGGACGGATGGAGCCCGTGAGCATCGGCAAACAAAGCTCCAGGCAGAAGTAAAAGAAAAACAACATCAAACCAGTTCTTAACTGCAAAAAAGCCTGGGTGAATGGGGAGATTATTTCCAGCTTTTTGGAAAAATATTTATTCTAAACTCTGGGCAGTTCTTGCTGCAGTTTATATTGGATCAGGGCTCATGGCACTGCATGGGCCAGGCAGCCCCTTCATTAATTTGGGATTTCTGGGCCTTTTTCTCACTGTAAATAGGCAAATGACTGAAAAAATAAAATAATCAGTGCGGTGCAGGTTTCACTGCGGCATGGGTGGGGGGTGCCAGATGCTGTTGCAATAGAGATTTTTCCTTCAGGGCTCAGCGCCGCCCCAAATTTAACATATTGCACTAAAATCTTAAGTACACAACGCCTTTCTGAACACGACTCTCCTTCTGCTCGTTCATCCCCTGCTCAGGACGCACGTTATCCCAGCGATTCGCCGTACAGTGTAAGCTGGGAGGTTCACAGGCTGCTGGACGCAAGCAGCCCTCGCTGCCTTTACCCGACATGTGCGATTAATTTATTGCAGGGGCAGCCGAGCTCTCCCAGTTCGGAAGTCCGGTGTTTTTGCTGTCAAACCCTGCTATTTGCAGCATCGGCCGGGGCTGGCACAGCTTCCCCGGCCGCGTTTGCCCTGGTGCTTCCCAGAAGGGCCGGATCCGGGCGCCAGGTGATTCACATCCTGCCCAAACGGCTCCATTTTGGGAAAAATGTTGGGTTTAGGGGGTGATGGGTGGGTGTAAGGGGAAAGGGGACCCATCCCTGCTGCTGCCGGGATCATGCCCAGCCCTGGACGGGGCCTCTGGCAGCTTCGTTAATGCAAAAATTAAACCCCGCCAGGCGACACCTTCAAAGGCTCGGCGCTCCCTGTAATTAACTGCGAACACCGGAGCCGGTGTGACTCTGCCATTGGGAAATCAAACACTCACAGGGCAGGAAATTCCAGAAATTAAAGCACCGGCTGGGATGCAGGGTGGGTTTGGGAAAAACGGGGCATTAAAGCCTTCCTGCTTGGAATATGCTGAGCCCAACATTTGGGTGCTTTGTGGGACCTCGGACCAAACCCTCACGCACGGCTGGTGAGGAGGACGTGCGGGCGACACGATGCCCTTCCCCGCCAGCTGACGGGGGAGCGCCCATCCAGATGTGCACGCACGCACCGACACCGTACTGGGAGCTGGAGCTAAACTGCACCCTCTGACCTAAACACTCTCAAACACAGGCATGCTCAACCCCAAATTGAGCTCTCCATCGGGACCTGCTGGGCTCTGACTGCTCCCCCAGAAACCCCAGTGTCCCCCCCAGAGCTGCCATCGCGGGTTGCACCGACCAGGGACTGCAGGATGGCGTGGTTGGTGGCATTCATGCAGGAGTCCAGGGGGAAGGCGCACTCCCCCTCGCAGTAGTAGGCTGAGTATCCCTGCGGGGCGATCACCCAGTCCTGAAGAAAAAAGAAAAAAAGAAAAAAAAATTTACACAGGTTACGCCGTGGGCTTCACCCTTTCTGCACCCCTTCATCCATCCCCCACCTG